AAAAAAAAAAAAAAACACTAAGGAAATGTTTGTAAACTTTTGACTATCTAGAAATTAATAAAAAATTCTCAAAAAAATATTCTCTCATTATTCTGGCATTTAGCAAATGTAAATCATTTAGGTAGTCCAGACGGACCTAAAATAGTAAACGTTTAGTATGATGTACCATCAGACATTTTTAAAAAATGGTTATGTTCCTTTTTTTAGAGTGTATGGAAACTTCTGATTTCAACCAGATATCCTTACCACACAAAGTCTATCTTGAATAAAAGTAGAATCACTTTAAAAGAATTAACCGTAAAAAGAGTAAAACTACTTTTTAGTGGTTTTAGTAGACATTTTATATAGTATTAACTCATAGAAAGAACAATAGAAACAGTTATTTTCAGTCCTCAGCCCTTCAGTTCCACTCGAGGTCTCTGTGATCTCTGAACTAGTTTGGTATAGCTTCAGAAAATAAAGTGACAAGGAGACAGGCAAACACACTAAACATTCTTATATTAAGCAATGAGTTAACTTTATTCATTAATTAAATAATCATATTTAAATGATAAGGATAAATGTTGATCCATGCTGGGACGAATTGGAAGGCAGAAATCCGAATTCATCATTATAATTACTAATACTCAAATGACTGTGATTGAGTAGTTTTTGTAAGTTTTTGAGTGGAATTGTAATTTACTAAGCAGTTTTAAAAAAGTGGACTTTCACTTTCTCTTGAGAACATCTTTAGTGCTGTATCTGTACTTTTACTCCACTACTTTTCTTCAACCTGCGGTCACTACTGTATTTTGTCTTGTCTATGGTGATTAGAAAAATCAGTCCTGTGATTCTTGTCCAATCAAATCTCACACAGAGGGTAAACTGCCTCATAATGCACTACCTCAAGACAAGAATGATTCATAATTGCAGCAAACTGTTTGTAAGCATTAAAAGTGTCCAAGATGATGTCCAAAATCTTCACACGCATTGACCCAGAGACTGTTTAGATGCATGTCACTGATGACAAGATGACAGATGTTTACTGTGTGGTGACAGAAATGGCCTTAAACACTCAGCAGGCACAAGATGTCAACATGACGTCAAATTGATGTTGTACCCCAATGTCATGGAAACATTGAATTTTATTAGGAAAAGAAAATTGGTTGACTTCAGAACTCAACATCAGACTGACGTCAATATCCAACCTAAAATTAACCAAATATCAACGTCTAATGAGGTTACAGCTTAACGATGTGTGGACATTACCACTATGACGTCTATCAGATGTTGGATTTTGGTTGCCATAGCTGACAAACAAATGTCTGTATTTGACGTCAATATGACGTTGGTTTAAGATGTTGGTTCGCTGTTGGATTTTGGTCATTTTCCAACACAAAATCAACCAAATATCGTCATCATTATTAGTCATCAAAATAACTTTGTCCTTATGCTAGTTAGACTTGAATTTTAATCATCTGACATCACCACCTAAATCTAACCTAATACTAATGTCTTAGGATGTTGTGTCTGCTGATCAATAACTAAATGCACTACAGAATGTTACGTTTACACACAACCAAAAATTACATGTAAACACGTCAGCTTTTTACAGCGTAATACTCACCATTCTTAAGTACTTTAAAAAGGTTTACTTTTCACTCATACTTTGAGTAATATTTACAACAGATAATTTTACTCTACTTGCACTACATTTTTAGGCAAGTAATGCTACTTTTACAGTTTTACAGTTTTAAGTATTATTTTTTACTATTTCCAACACTGTAAATATTAATTGTAAAAATGTAATGTGCTTTTTGTGTTTATTTAGTATGTTTGTGTAATTGTATCTTGTTTTTTTCTGTCTCAGAGCATCAATTTGAATATCCATTTGAATTCCAACTGAAAAATATGTTAGTTTCCCCATCAGATAACCTTTATAAAAACAAATACTTACATGAATTGGGACTTATTGAAGCACAGTAGGAGTATTCAGTCTAGTAGGAGAAGACCACTGCATGTAAACAGATCAGGTAAGATCATCTTTATATTCTTTAATGAGAAACTGATTAGTTATTGTCACTCTCCATATTTAAAGTCGTATCTGTGGCTGTTTGTGATTGGACAGGTTTTCGAGGAGATGTTTATAGACAGCGTTGGCTTTTAATAAAACAGACATTAGCCATCTTTTAAAACTAAATCTATACTTTTCTCTCTTTATCTTACCTTCAGATTTAAAAAAAAATGATTTACAGGAAGTTACTATAACTTTTAAAATGCTGGGTTGTCATATAAGCCAATGTTGGGTCAAATACGAACATATCAGTTCCTAAAAAGTACTGAAGTGTGTTTTAGTAAAGGTATCGTCCCGCTGACAGCTTTGACACAAATACTATAGTGTGTTTTTGAACACTGCAGTGTTACTTTCTGTCATTAGTAAAGTGCCTGAAATAAGCTGTTGTGGTAAATCTATAGTTGCTCATTTATGCTGTGCTATTTAAATGAGTCAAGCCCAAACACTGGATCAGTTGCTCAGTGATTAAAGACTTTTTGTTTGATGTGAAACAGACTTTACGAATAAAACAAGACTTGACAAATTCTGTCACCTCAGGCTAAAGCCGGTGATAAAAAGTATTTATATATTAAATTTGTGTATTTTATTGTTGTAATTTTGTGCTTACATATTAAAGTTATGGAAAAGGCGACACAGTGACTAAGTTGTTAGCACTGTTGCCTCGCAGCAAGAAGGTCGCTGGTTTGAGTCTCAGCTGGGACATTTGGCATTTCTGTGTGGAGTTTGCATGTTCTTTCCGTGTTGGTGTGAGTTTCCCTTCTCAAGTTTCTGTTTCCCCCACAGTCTAAACACAGGTGTATATGTGAATTAGATTAACTAAATTGGCTAAAGTGTTTGAGTGTGTGTGAATGTGAGAGTGTATGGGTGTTTCCCAGTACCGGGTTGCAGCTGGTAGGGTATCCGCTGTGTAAAACATATGCTGGAATAGTTAGTGGTTCATTCAGCTGTGGCGACCCCTGATAAATAAGGGACTAAACCAAAGGAAAATAATTGAAGTTGTGGATTTTTTTTTTCATTTTTAATTTTACTTTTAATTTATCAAAATGGTTTTATCCTGTGTCTGTGTTCAAGCAGTCCCTCCTGGAATTTGCAAGTAAAAATTCTGATATTTCCAGACTATAATAATGATTTTTCAGCATTTGTGTGGTTCTGCAGTGGAAATATACACAAATCTAAGTGCTGCGTTACTTTTCTGTGTTTGAAATGACTCACAGAATCAATGTACCATGTTTATGACAACTCCAGGTATCACACACTGGATGAGCATTTTCTGTAGGTGAATATAATATTAATTACCATCAAAGTTGTGTCATTTGCTTGATTTTGCATGTTTGTAGATTCACTATGTATGGAGGGACTGCCAAACACAACAGCTTCCTGTTTTCAATTCATTGTTGGTCAAGGAAATTCATCTATGTAAATAACACGGAAAAGAGGGAATTTGATATCTATCTATCTATATATATATATATATATATATATATATATATATATATATATATATATATATATATGTATATATGCTCAACAGCCACTTTATTAGGTACACCTTACTACTGCTTAAGAGCTGCCTTAATCCTTCGTGGCATAGATTCAGCAAGGTACAGGAAATATACCTGATTTTGCTCCATATTGACATAATAGCATCACACAGTTGCTGCAGATTTGTCGGCTGCACATCCTAAAGGCACTCTATTGGATTGAGATCTGGTGACTGTGGAGGCCATTTGAGTACAGTGAACTCATTTTCATGTTCAAGAAACCAGTCTGAGATGATTCACACTTTATGACATGGTGCGTTATCCTGCTGGAAGTAGCCATCAGAAGATGGGTACATTGTGGACATAAAGGGATGGACATGGTCAGCAACAATAGTCAGGTAGGCTGTGGCGTTGACACAATGCTCAGTTGGTACTAATGGGCCCAAAGTGTGCCAAGAAAATATCTCCCACACCATTACACCACCACCACCAGCCTGAACTGTTGATCATGTAGTTGATGCCAAATTCTGACCAGACCATCCGGATGTGTCAGCAGAAATGGAGACTCATCAGAGCAGGCAACGTTTCTCCAATCTTCTATTGTCCAGTTTTGAGCCTCTGTGAATTGTAGCCTCAGTTTCCTGTTCTTAGCTGACAGGAGCGGCACCCGGTGTGGTCTTCTGCTGCTGTAGTCCATCCGCCTCAAGGTTGGACGTGTTCAGAGATGCTCTTCTGCAGACCTCGGTTGTAACGAGTGCTTATTTGAGTTACTGTTGCCTTTCTATCAGCTGGAACCAGTCTGGCCATTCTCCTCTGACCTCTGGCATCAACAAGGCATTTGCGCCCACAGAACTGCCGCTCACTGGATATTTCCTATTTGTCGGATCATTCTCTGTAAACCCTAGAGATGGTTGTGCGTGAACATCCCAGTAGATCAGCAGTTTCTGAAATACTCAGAGCAGCCTGTCTGGCACCAACAACCATGCCACAGTCAAAGTCACTTAAATCCCCTTTCTTCCCCATTCTCATGCTCGCTTTGAATTGCAGCAGATCGTCTTGACCATGTATAAATGCCTAAATGCATTGAGTTGCTGCCATGTGATTGGCTGGTAAATTTGCGTTACCGAGCAGTTGGACAGGTGTACCTAATAAAGTGGCCGGTGATTTTTATTTTATTTTTTTTACTTTTTAAATCATCACAGTGTTATTTGGCAGCTTTTAGCAACAAATTTGCCTTTTGCCACATAAAGAATATTTGCCAATTTTTGGTGGGTCTGTAATCACCACCAACGTTTTTTTTTGATTGATTGATTGATTGATTGATTGATTGATTGATTGATTGGAAAATAATGGCTAGATTACCCAAGATTTATTAAGGATTTCCTCCTACTAATTTGTTTAATTTCCAGTCAGTGCTTTGGTTGGTTGATGAAAATACAACACACCGCTGGATATCGGATCCCATAATGGAGCTTGTTGCTTTCAAAAGTAAGTGTTTTGATTTTTCTATTTTGATTTAGAAAAAAGGTGTATATTTAATCATTTATTAGTTAGTAAACCAAGCAATACTTATAATTCATAACACTAAGCAGAAACAGTGTTGCATAACGTTACCTTTCCTTCCTCTACAAGCCATCAGAAAAATTACATTTATTAAGGTGGTTAAAAGCAAAATGGGTTTTGTGTCACATGATTAAATTAGTCAAATGGCGCCACCTTGTGTCTGTGAATGGTTGCAGTTGTCGTTTGTGAGCAGTGAGTGAGTAGCCTACAGTATAATTTATAAAAACAGCATAACTTTAATTATTTTTTTGTTTTAATCTCAGGTGCTGTACGGTTGCTGTTGACTGTCGTCACTTTAAGCTGTTGTAAGTGTAAGCCAGCAGTGTTTCAATATGTTTTTTAATGCTATTGTTTACATTAATTTCATCTTACAATAGTTACTGTTAAAACGTAATGCATTTAGTAATTTAGCAGATGCTTTAGCAGTTGTCTATGACAGGATGCTACTAAACATCAGTTAATCTTATTTACAAAACAGATCTAATATGTTGGAATAAAATATTTACTAAAAAATACAGTTTAAAGCTGTTTTACTACCTGAAAGAAGAGAGTCAGTACTGAGAAACTCTCTATCAGAAGAAAGAAGTTAATCTGGTTTGTCATTTGCTCTTTCTGATCACATCTTCCTCATCTTCAGGTTTAATATCCCCCACAGCAGCAGCAGCAGTGAGTCCAGTCTCTGGCTGTGAGCTTTATAATGACCTGTACATCTGCACTGGCGCTCAGTACCGCATGCACTGCAACACTACAAAACATCACTTCTACTACCAGAGAAACCAGGACCAGCACCAATACCAGTGCTTGAGTAATGACTGTGTCTGTGTTGGTAATAATGACACCTGTGTGTGTTATAATAATACTTCATCCTGCTTCTGTGACACCTTCAGCAGTAATATCAGTGTCCCTGCAGCAGACGGTTTAATTTTGGACTGTACGTTTAATAGTGGCTCATACACCTGCATTGGTGCTCAGTACAACATGTACTGTGACACAGCACTGAATTCTTTTAGATATGACATATATCCGTTCCAAAACCAAAAACAGTACGAATGTTGGAATTATAATAACTATTATAATTACTATTACTGCAGTTTTACTAAGAACTCCTGTTCATGCTATAGTCCGACATCCTCCCGCTTCTGTACAAATTATGGCTACAGCACCTCTCTTTCCTCAGGACAGAGTCCAGCCACAATCCCTGACTGTGTGATTTATAACGACACATACGTCTGCACTGGCGCTCTGTACCGCATGTACTGCAACACAAGAATTCACTATTTCTACTACCAGAGAAATCAAAACCAAATCCAGTACTATTGTCAGAATAATAACTGTAACTGCAATTTTAATAATAATTTGTGTTCATGCTCTTCTAGCACTCTGTCCTCCTGCTTCTGTGAGACCCTCAGCAACAGCACTTCACTCAATATAAATCTGCCTCCAGTCTCAGCCCCTGACTGTGAGCTTTATAATGACACCTACATCTGCACCGGTGCTCAGTACCGCATGTACTGCAACACACAAGTGCATTATTTAACTTACCAAAGATATCAGAATCAACACCAATACCAGTGTGTGAGCAATAACTGTAACTGCCTTGGTAATAAGGACACCTGTACATGCTCGACTAGCACTCTGTCCTCCTGTTTCTGTGAGACTTACGGCAATATCACTGCTCTCACTACATCACGCAGTCCAGTCTATGAGTGTGTGCTTTATAATGATCTCTACATCTGCACTGGTGCTCAGTACCGCATGTTCTGCAACACAAGTCTACATGATTTCTATCATGATATAAATGCGCATCAGTGTACAAGCGGTATCTGTAGCTGTACTGGGAATAAAAATACCTGTTTATGCTCCTCTAGTGCTCCATCCTCCTGCTACTGTAAAGATTTCAGCAATAACATCACCATCCCTGCAGGAGTCAGTCCAGTCTATGACTGTGTGCTTTATAATGACACATACGTCTGCACTGGCGCTCAGTACCGCATGTTCTGCAACACAAGCATGCACAATTTCAACTACCGGAGAAACACAAACCAAAACCAGTACCAGAGCCGGTGCTGGAGTAATAACTGTGATTGCTATGGTAATAAAGACACCTGTGGATGCTACAGCAGGACTCTGTCCTCCTGCTTCTGTGAGTCTTATGGAAAAAGCATCGCTCTCACTGCAGCAGTCAGTCCTGTCTATGACTGTGTGCTTTATAAAGACACTTACATCTGCACTGGTGCTCAGTACCGCATGTTCTGCAACACAAGCATGCACAGTTTTGACTACCGGAGAAACACAAACCAAAACCAGTACCAGAGCCGGTGCTTGGGTAATGACTGTAATTGCAATAGTAATAAAGACACCTGTACCTGCTCCAGCAGCACTTGGTCCTCCTGCTACTGTGAGTCTTATGGAAAAAGCATCTCTCTCACTACAGGAGTCAGTCCAGTATCTGGCTGTGTGTTTTATAATGACACTTATGTCTGCACTGGAGCTCAGTACCGCATGTTCTGCAACACAAGTCTACATAATTTCTATTATGATATAAATGCGCATCAGTGTACAAGCAGTATCTGTAGCTGTACTGGGAATAAAAACACCTGTTCATGCTCCACTAGTGCTCCATCCTCCTGCTACTGCACAGATTACAGTAATAAAACTATCCCTGCTGGAGTCAGTCCAGTGTACGACTGCGTGCTTAATAATGACACATATATCTGCACTGGTGCTCAGTACCGCATGTTCTGCAACACAAGCATGAACAATATCTACTACCAGAGAAATACAAACCAAAACCAGTATCAAAACCAGTGCTGGAATAATTACTGTAATTGCAATGGTAATAAGAACACTTGTACCTGCTCCAGTAGCACTCTGTCCTCCTGTTTCTGTGAGACTTACGGCAATATCACAGCTCTCACTACAGCACGCAGTCCAGTCTATGAGTGTGTGCTTTATAAAGACACCTACATCTGCACTGGTGTTCAGTACCGCATGTTCTGCAACACAAGCATGCACAGCTTCGACTACCAGAGAAATACAAACCAAAACCAGTACCAGAGCCGGTGCTTGGGTAATGACTGTAATTGCAATGGTAATAAAGACACCTGTACCTGCTCCAGAAGCACTTGGTCCTCCTGCTACTGTGAGTCTTATGGAAAAAGCATCGCTCTCACTACAGGAGTCAGTCCAGTCTCTGGCTGTGTGCTTTATAATGACACTTACATCTGCACTGGAGCTCAGTACCGCATGTTCTGCAACACAAGTTTACATAATTTCTATTATGATATAAATGCGCATCAGTGTACAAGCAGTATCTGTAGCTGTACTGGGAATACAAATACCTGTTCATGCTTCTCTAGTGCTCCATCCTCCTGCTACTGCACAGATTACAGCAATAACATCATCCCTGCTGAAGTCAGTCCAATGTACGTCTGCGTGCTTAATAAAGACACATACGTCTGCACTGGTGCTCAGTACCGCATGTTCTGCAACACAAGCATGAACAATATCTACTACCAGAGAAATACAAACCAAAACCAGTACCAGAGCCAGTGCTGGAGTAATTACTGTAATTGCTATGGTTATAAAGACACCTGTACCTGCTCCAGAAGCACTTGGTCCTCCTGCTACTGTGAGTCTTACATCACCACCACAACCACACCCAGTCCAACTACTCCAGGTGAGATATTCCTAGAATGAAACATGATATTTAGTTTATTATACAGTATATGTGTTGTAATGACGTGCCATTTCATTTCAGCTCTGACTATCACTCTGCCTGATCAATGCACGGTACAATCAACACTAAACACTTATTCAGTGCACTTTCAGAGTTTTTCAGGTGTATTGATAAAGCTCACCTGTGATTTCAGAGTCAGGGAGGATGCCTTCAGAATATACTTCAGCAGCTGGAGAACGTTACACAGCTTCCATTATCTGTACGTTTATAGGAGGGAAAAGTGTGTGTGTGTGTGTGTGTGTGTGTGTGTGTGTGTGTAGCATTGCTGTTATGACTGAAATATTTGCACCCATTTATAAGTGTTTTTGTATCATAAATTAGGTTGTGTCTACGGTTTTGGACATGGCTCTGAACACATCCGCTGTGGTTTTGCCGTCAACTGATTCAAAAGAATTAGCGGCTAATGGGAATCGTGTATTACAAGCAAGTGTGAAGCTCCTATCTGCACTGGTGAAACCAACAGAGACAAGCGACAATGTCAGTTTTACTCTCGACACTGTTGGTAAGTGAAGGTGCAGATTGAGAATCAAGCAACATCGTTTCACATACAGTTCATAGAGTCAGACTTTATCTGAAGTGATATTTCTTTAAAGTGAGAAATCCTCATGCATTACTCTCTGAGCTAATAATAAAGATACATGAGAAAAGATTAACTCACATTATTTTCTTTAGAGGTAAAAGTTTTCTCGATTGGACCAAAATTCGCTTCAGAACAGTTCCCTCAGCTGGACACAAAAACTGCTTCTATGGACATTGATCTGATCGGGATTGCCAAGAGTAACGAGGAAAAAGGTATGTCAACAGTATTTGCATCCTCTGATTTTCACCATACATTTAAACAGTGAGCAGTCATACTCTTCCAGATATTAACTTTTATTCACCTTATTGTGCACAAAAGCCCCACAACAGACGTCTGTAAAGGTGAACTGGGATGCAGCAGCTGTGGATTCTTTCTGGATGTGCTGTGCATTTGACCCTGTTTCTGTCCCACAGGATCTGCTGCTGTGGCTTTCATGAGCTACACCACTATGGAGAATCTACTGAAGGCCGACTTCTTCAACTCACAAAATAACACCAATAAAACCATGATGTCCACTGTGATCTCAGCTACACTTCCCAAAACCACCAACACTGCACTCACCAAACCAGTCAACTTCACCTTCAGACACATCAGAGTGAGTTCATTTAGAGCGATTCTGTTGAAAGGCATGGCTGATGGTCATGTGCTGAATATGGGAACTAGTTGTTTTGGACTATCTGAGGACCAGCACATAGGTCAAACCAGCATGCATGCTTTAAAACATACCTAACCAGCAGATCCTGGTTTTATTTACAGGCTCATTGGGAATACGCGGCCAATTTGTTGGAAAACCACATAGGTTTGTCTGCAGTTTGTGGGTACGGTGTTGTATTACACCACTGACAACTTCTGTCCCTTTTAGCGCTTATACTGACATTAACAGGAACATACTGGATAAAGGGTTGTTTTCGCATAGTTTTTCCCACAGCACATAATAAACAGCACAAAAATGACCTAGAAGCATCTGTGGTCTGTAATCGTCAGAGTTCGCCTCACCTGCTGATATCTATAGCTTTTCTAGCACGGTCAGTTTGCTTGGTAGCTCACCTTGTATAGTGTTGAACTTAGGATGCAGAGTGGTCTGGGTTTGTGAAATCCTGGGCCCCGTTTACACTAATGCGTTTTAGTTGGAAAATGCATAAGTTTTGCTACGGTTACGCCATCCGTCCACACTACGACGGAGTTTTCGAGTGCCGAAAACGGAGCGTTTTGGAAACGCTAGAGAGGCCGTTTTCATTCTGAAAAGCTGCTGCTCCGTCTCAGTGTGGATGGGGGAAAACAGAGACATCTGAAAAGGGAGGCGGGGCTGCTGAGATTTGCTACCTGATTGGGGCTTTTGTGTCATTGCGTATCCTTCCCTTTTTTGTCAAGCTACTGTCACATGACCATAACACATGGCTTTAACACTACCGGAAGACAGTAGACCAGCCGTCACTGTAAACAACAACATGGGCACAGAAATGGGAGCATTGTTTGCACTATTGTCTGTTTTAGGCGCCATTGTACAGTTATTCGTTTGTTGTGTTTAAGTGACAACTCGACCTCGTTGTCTGTACACAAAAAGACCTCTTTCTTTGCTATCGCGTTTATTGTTTAACCAGCGTTTGTTGACTAACAATAACCAAATGCCAAGCGAGACACACGCTTCCTGTTTATACTAGAACACGCATACCTAGAATGTGCGAATGGTCACGTGATATATGTTTTTGGTGGCGTAGTGTAGAAGGAGATATGTTTAGAAACGCTAGGTGAAACACTAGTGTGGACGCGGATCGTTTTTGATCTAAAACACCGTATTAAAACTAAAACGCACTAGTGTAAACGGGGACTTGGTAAATGCCATGACAACTATCATTGTTAAACCAATTAGCTGAATTTCCAATTAGCCCATTTTGTTATAAATCCGCTATCTTCGTCATTTCCCCCTTTACCAGGGGAAGCTTTCGATACCTACCTAATGTCGAACCTCCTTGCGTGCTATTTGACCAGGCTGAAGCCCTGGGCTCAATTATCTCAGACCTCAGGGTTCTCTGCAGGGACAGAATGTCAAATCTGCTAATACATTTACATTTACATTTAGTCATTTAGCAGACGCTTTTATCCAAAGCGACTTACAAATGAGGACAAGGAAGCAATTTACACAACTAAGAGCAACAATGAATAAGTGCTATAGGCAAGTTTCAGGTCTGTAAAGTCTAAGAAGGGAAGTATTAGTAGTATTAGTATTTTTTTTTAATAATAGTATAAAGCAACAGCTAATCGTGAATTCTTGAAATCAGTATTGGTTAGGTTAAGGGAAAGGTGTGGTTCATTGATAGATGCACTACAAGCTGAGCGGATTCTTACAAACAAATATGAAAAAGACATGTACAGAGAATGCATGAGAAAATGTGGCCCAGTACTGTATTTGAGATTTGAGTAGCCTGTAGTGCAGGGGTGGCCAACCCTGTTCCTGGAGAGCCAACTTCCTGCAGATTTCAGTTGCAACCCATATCAAACACACCTGAACCAATTAATTAGGACCTGAACACCACGTGATAATTACAGGCAGGTGTGTTTGATATGGGTTGCAACTGAAATCTGCAGGAAGGTGGCTCTCCAGGAACAGGGTTGCCTACCCTTGCTCTAGTAGATTTGTGAACACGAGCTGCAAGCAAATGTTGCCGGAGCAATGTATTTTACTGTTTGCGAAAAACATAGCCAGTGAGCCAATTTTGTGAAGAGAAGTTATCGTAAGATGCTTTTTTTGAATGTTCTTCCTCTTGCAGGAGTTTGACCCCAACGGTTCTCTGTCCTGTGTGTACTGGAATATCAGCGAGTGGATTGTAGATGGTTGTTCTGTGTTAAACAGCAACAGCAGCCACACTGTGTGTTCCTGTGTTCATCTGTCCACATTCGCTCTCATCATGCAGACCAGCAGCAGTCCACCACCGGTACCAGAACATTTCTAGAGAGCATTGAAGAGCAGCACAGATCTGGCACTCATGGTCTCTGCATGTTTTCTCAGAGCGATCTGCTGGATCTGCTGGATCTGGTGTGTGTGATCGTGGGTCTGGTGTTCTTCAGTTTGGCTCTGTTGTCCTTTGCTCTTTGTCAGTGGAGTCCTGGAGTCAATAATGTGGCTCGAATCAACATCTGCATCAGTCTGCTGTCGGCTCACCTTCTGTTGCTGCTCACACAACAGTTCCTGAGCCTCATTCGCCCTCAGCAGGTGAGAATGATGAAGGAGCTCTACAGCTCAGCACAGCCGCACTGAGAATCATCATAACCCTCTCTCATGCTCTCCAGGTGTTGTGTGTGGCGATAGCAGGCCTTCTGCACTTCCTCTTCCTCTCCGCCTTTGTGTGGATGTTCATTGAAGCTGTGCTGCTCTTCATCTGTGTACAGAACCTATCACAGGTCAGCTCCAAAAAGAAGGAGGTGCTTAGCAGTGGGTTCCTGTGTGTGATTGGATATGTGCTTGCTATGGTTGTGGTGTGTGTGTCTGTTGGGCTGGTTCCAGAAGGATACGGCAGTGAACAGTGAGTTGTGTTGTTCATTTCATTGTTTTTTTTTTTTTTATTTGTTAACAGGTTGTAACAATGTCACATATAATCTTAATATCAGTAACTATCAGTTCTTGTTGATAAATGTATTCATTTATAATATTGTGTTTTCCTCTAATCAGTTGCTGGATTAAATATGATAAAGGGTTTATCTGGAGTTTTCTGGGTCCTGTTTGTGTCATACTAGCAGTAAGTTTTAGTTACAGACATTTTTCTCATGGCCTGTTAAAATCAACAAAACTCTAAACTGTTCATTTCTTAATCTTTCTACAGCTGAACACGATTCTCTTCATCAGGATCGTCATCATTCTGAACTCAGCTCTCACAAAACTGAACGCTGAAGTTTCACAGATGAAGCAAACCAAGTAATAAACATTCTGAGTTAATCACTTCATGAAAATAACAGTTAGTACAGACTAAATCTCCTTTTCTGTTTCTCTGCAGGATTATAGTGTTTAAAACACTGGGTCAGTTTGTGGTTCTTGGTTGTCCTTGGATTCTGGGTTTCTTCACTAATAGCAGTGAGGTGCTGGAGATCCTTTTCCTGATCTTGAACTCTCAGCAGGGAACCTTCATCTTCCTGATCTACTGTGTGCTCAATAATGAGGTCAGACATTTACTCAATCTACCATCATAACGTTCGAGGTTACAGAAGTAACCCTTCATTCCCTGAGGAGGGGAACGGAAGTACTATAAGTGGATTTGATGTTCTAAATCCACGAATGGGAGATTCGGTTCAGAAGCTACTCGTCTGAAAGAGTATTAAACGGGCCAATGAAAGCAATGAACTGGCAGCGTAAGCTTGCGCAGGTGTGCTGCATCGCCAATTAACTGAGCATATAAGCACACCTGGCGCCAGCAAACGCTATCCTTTTTAAGCTGAAGAGACTTTTAACAGCTAAGGGACAGTCATTATGGCAACGGAGTATAGTACTTCCGTTCCTCTCCTCGGAGAACGAAGGGTTGCTTCTGTAACCTCGAACATTCCCCTTCGGTTGGGGAACTCCAGTACTATAAGTGGATTTGATGTTCTAAATCCACGTATGGGAGTCCATTGAAAGCCTCATAATGACTGCACCTTACCAACGCCTCCGATGAGAGGGCAGTCAGGCAAGCGTGACGCACTCAAATTATGGAAGGCGCGGTCCTCCAACGTGCCCTTGGCCCTAACTTATTCCCTCTTCAAAAGAAGCTTTGCGGAATAGGTATATTTTTTTGGGAGTCGCTAGCGTCTAGATAATTGTAGGAAAATACGACAGTACATTGGGAAGCGTGCAATCCCGGTAGGGAGGACGCTGCGGAGACCATCCGCACCCAATAGGGAGACAAATGGAATTACATATGGACTAACCCTAAGGAGGGGGAGTGCGCATAAGAAGGTGGTTAACGGATAGGGAAGGCACGGGTCCACCCAGTGGGGGGACTTAACTGTGGCAGAAAAGCATATGGGGATCACCAGCGGGGATCGCACATAGCAGGGACCTATCCCCAAAATGCGGGCTGACCAGCGGGCAGACCTAACGTAGTGGGCCAGCGAGTGACTCCTCCGCTGAGTCAGTGCTGGGGGCCTCAGAGGAACCTGCCGGGCTCACCGAATGGGGAACTTTAATGACAGACAGGAAGGTGCACATCTCTCCGTGTTAGGGAAAAAAAGGCACCGCAAGCGTGCTACAACACCCCACCGAGTTGTTTCCTCAATTACCTAACACCCTTGAGGAAACTGGCTCCACTCGCAGATTGTAAAACCTTGCAATGTGTTGGGTGTCGCCCAGCCCGCAGCTCTACAATGTCTGTTAAAGAGGCGCCGCGTGCACACGCCCAAGATGATGCAATGCTCCGAGTGGAGTGTGCACGCACTCCCGGGGAACGCGGCTGACCTCTGCTCAAATAAGCACATGAAATGGCCTCCACAATCCAGTGGGAAAATCTTTGTTTGGAAACGGCACTTCCCTGCTGCCGTCCGCCATAGCAGACAAAGAGCTGCTCAGAAGATCTACAGTACTGAATACGATCCACAAGGAAAGAGCTGGGTCTGCCTCCTCCAGGGGCAGCGCTTGCAGGGTTACTATCTGATCTCTAAGGGAGTGGTAGGAACTTTGGGCACATAACCCGGGCGGGGTCTCAGGATAACGTGAGAAAAATCCGGCCCGAATTCCAGGCACGAGTCACTGACCGAAAATGCCTCCAGGTCCCCGACCCTCTTAATGGAGGCCAACACGACCAGCAGAGCTGTCTTCAGGGACAGAATCTTTAGGATACTGAGTCGAGTGGCTCGAAGGGATTAGATCGCAGGCTCGTAAGGACGAGGGCGAGATCCCAAGAGGGCATGAAAGGGGGGCGAGTTGGATTAATTCGCCTAGCACCTCTGAGGAACCGGATGATGAGGTTATGCTTTCCCACGGTGCCGCCAGCCACCGCGTCATGGTGAGCGTAGATGGCGGCAATGTAAACCTTGAGAGTGGAGGGTGACAGCCTGCTATCCAGCTTCTCTTGAAGGAAAGAGAGCACAAAACTGATCTGGCAAGATCAGGGGTCTTCTCTGCGAGAGACACACCATTCAGTGAATAGACTCCACTTTAGGGCGTGGGCGCGCCTCGTGGAGGGGGCCTAGCCTGAGTGATGGTATCCACCACCGCGGACGGCAGGTTACCTAAGTCTTCCTCGCGTCTAGGGACCACACGCGAGGGTGCCAGATGGTGCCTTGTCCCTGAGAAAGTAGGTTGTCTCTCAAAGGGACCTGCCAGGGGAGGGCCGTCGCGAGGAGGGAGAGCTTTGATATCCAGGTCCGGTTGGGCCAGAGGAGCGCAACTAGCAGAACCTGCTCCTCGTCCTCCCTGACCTTGCACAGTAACTGCGTGATCAGGCTCACTGGGGGAAACGCATACTTGCGTATGCCCCGAGGCCAGCTGTGGGCCAGTGCATCCGTGCAGAGAGTGCCCTCGGTCAGGGAATAAAACAACTGGCAATGAGTGTTCTCTGGGGAAGCAACAGATCGATCTTGGCCTCCCCGAATCGTGTCCATATAAGCTGAACAGACTCGGGGTGGAGTCTCCATTCTCCAGAGTGAAACTGCTGCCGTGAGAGCGCATCGGCTGCACGGTTGAGCATACCTGAAATGTGAATGGCGCGCAGCGACTTCAGCCGCGGGTGACTCCAGAGGAGCAGACGGCGGGCAAGCTGAGACATGTGGCGAGAGGGCATACCCTCCATGCGGTTGATATACGCTTCCGCCGCCGCACTGTCCGTCCTGACCAGCACATGTTGCTGCTCCAGCACCGGAGAAAAACGGCGGAGAGCAAGGAACACTGCCAACAGCACTAGGCGGTTGATATGCCAATGCAGCTGGGCACCTACCCACAGGTCCGCAGCTGCATGCCCGCGACACACGGCTCCCCAGCCTGTGCTGGAAGCATCTGTTGAGACCACAACATGACTGGACACCTGTCCCAGAGGCACACCGGCCTGCAGGAACGAGGGGTCATTCCAGGGGCTGAGGGTGCGGCGACACAGCGCAGTAACAGAGACTCGGTGTGTGCCCGCATGCCATGCGCGTCTTGGAACTCGATCTTGAAGCCAGTGCTGAAGTGGTCTCATATGGAGCAGTCCGGGCGGCGTGACAGCCGCGGCGGAAGCCATATGCCCCAGGAGCCTCTGAAAATATTTCAGTGGGACCACTGTTTTGTTGTCGAGCTCCCTCAGACAGTTCAGCAGCAGCCGAGCGCGCTCTCCAGAGAGGCGCGCTACCATGGTGACCGAGTCCAGCTCCATCCCGAGAAAAGAGATCCTCTGCACCGGGGCGAGTTTGCTCTTTTCCCAGTTGACCTGCAACCCCAATAGGCGAAGATGCCGGAGCACCTCGTCTCTGTGCATAGTCAATTACTCCCGCGAGTGGGCTAAGCAGCCAGTCGTCGAGATAATTGAGTATGCGGATGCCCGCAAGCCAAAGGGGCGGTAAGGCACCCTCCGCGAGTTTAGTGAAGACCCGCGGAGGCAGAGAGAGCCCGAAGGGGAGGACCTTGTACTGCCATGCTCGACCTTCAATGCAAACCGCAGAAACTGACGGTGGCGTGGAAGAATGGAGACATGAAAATACGCGTCCTTCAGGTCTATGGCTGCAAACCAATCCTGAGGACGAACGCATTGGAGAATGCGCCTCTGCGTGAGCGTTCTGAACGACAGCTTGTGAAGGCAGTGGCTCAAAACGCGCAGATCTAGGATTGGCCGTGACCCACCGCTCTTTTTGGTACGATGAAGTACGGGCTGTAAAACCCGCTCTCCATCTCGGCTAGAGGTACCGGCTTGATTGCACCCTTCGCCAGGAAGGCAGCAATCTCCTCTCGCAAGACAGGGGCGGACAGGGTATTGACCCTGATGAAATACCCGCCCGTGAACTTGGGAGGCCGTTTCGAGAACTGAAGTACGTAGCCGAGTCTGATCGTGCGTATGAGCCACTGCGAGGGGCTGGCCCTCGCTAACCAGGCAGGCAGAGCCCTCGCTAATGACATCATCGCAGAAATCATTGACGTACCCGCGGAGGGGCAGCGCGGAGCGGGTGTGCTGATCCGGGGAGCGCGAGGGTCCCACAGAAGAGCTGGAGGAGAGCGATTCGCTCTGGCTCCGCACCCTGACTCCGGAAAGGGTGCTTGGAGGCTGGGAGAAGGGAGACCGTCCCCCCCGCGCCCGTGAGCTGCAGGCGGAGCATGCAGACCCTGCGAGTTGAGAGGTTGCGCGTCCCAGACTGGCAGGGCTTGCAGTGCTCATGAGCCACTAGCAGAGCGCACCGAACCTGCGAGCTAGAGAGCACAGTGTCTCAGACTGGCAGATTTCGGGCTGTCACATCCGGGGAAGTGGAAAAGTGCCCTTTAATTTCATGGCAGTAAAAGGTGCCGTTGGAAATGGCGCCCCGCCCTCCAGCGGGGAAGAGCAAGTTCCCTCTTCTCCAGATGACCTGTCCCAGGGACGCTTCGCGGTCCGTTGCCGGACTTAGTGGCGTTCTGGGCAGGGGGAGCTGCCTGCTTCTGAGGTGCTCAACGCGCTCGCTTTGCCAGAGGCGTGTGTGGGGGCGGTGCAGCTCTCGTAGGCGGGCGCCTTCGGCGAGGAGCAGGTATGGATGGCACGGCGGGCGGAGCCGGCTTACGGATCCGCCAATAAGACATCACCCATCAGACTGCTCTCTCACTGCCTCGAATTCCTGGGTAAATTCGCAGACAGTGTCGCCGACCAGCTTGGGATATGGGCGAGTCAAGAAAGCGGACTTTGTCGACTTCGCGCATACCAGCCAAGTTTTACTCAGGGGTGGCACTCCTGGACCACTAGTGTGGACATCGTCCTCCCCAAAAGCACACGCAGCGGACTCAGTAGTCCGAAGAGCTAAGTCGGCGGCGGTGCGAAGCTCGTAAGCCTGGTTTGGACCCATCCTCGCGCAGCTCGGCCAGCGCCTGCGCTTGGTAGCGCTGGTAGGTGGCTATTGCATGCAAGGCGGAAGCAGCCTGGTCCGTAGCTTTCTAAGCTCTAGCTCTGAGGGAGCAGAAAACTCACAGGCTTTGGATGGGAGACGAGGCAGACCCCACCAAGAAGAGGCGCTGCGCGGATTAACCGCCATCGCGCACTCAACCTGAGGAATCGCCACATACCCCCTGGCCGATCCACCACCAAGAGTGGTGAGGGTGGAGGCACGAGCAGTAAAAAGTGCCCTTCAAGTCCGCGTGAGCCTACTGTGCACCTCCACCTCTAGGAGCTGGGGGATAAACCATCTCCAACCCACGGCCGAAGCAGCCCGGGAAAGCATGGCTAACACGTCTGTTTCAGGATCCGTTTGACAGCGCTCACCTGCCCGAAGGGGGCGAGCGGGTCTGGATCATCATCGGACAATGAAAGCCCACCCTCCGATGCCGCGGTGGATGTCTGGTCTCCGGTGTCATCGAGCGTAAGGGCTACCATCTGTTAGACGGATCGCTTCCCTCACTCGAAGCTTAGATGGAGCGCTTGGAGGAGCGAGAGGTACGCGGGCCCGTGGGCGACGTATTATCTCTCATTGAACCCTCAGATCTGCCCGAGTGCCTGCTGCAAAGCAGGGGACAGCTGGGGTGGTTCGCCCTTTTGCAAAGGCTAGCCGCGATCTTTATCGTGCCCATCATCCAAAGACAGGAACCCACAGCATCCAGAAACGCACAGTCGGAGCGCCGTCCTGAAAAGGACGTGCTGCACGACTGTGTTGCTCTTTTTGTGAAGTTGCAACTTTATACGCACCGCTCTGGAGGACCGGACCCAAAGGCACGCCAGCAAGGGAGAAACCCAGCTCGACCGTCTGCCGCTGCGTTTGTAGACATTCTGGGTCGGGAGAAACTCTCGTTCGCTCGGCATCGCTGGTCACAGCAGGAGGAACCCTCATCGACTCGATCAGAAAAGTCTCTGAAGCGAAAAGGATAGCGTTTGCTGCACAAGCTTACGCTGCCAATTCATTGCTTTCATTGGCCCGTTCAATACTTTCAGACGAGTACCTTCTGAACCGAATCTCCCATACGTGGATTTAGAACATCAAATCCACTTATAGTACTGGAGTTCCCCAACCGAAGGGGAACTAGGGGTGTAACGATATTCTAACTGAACTAAACAAAGGTCACACTTTATTTTGATGGTCCGTGTGTTGAATTTAAGTTACATTGCATCTACTTGCCAACTAAGTCTCATTAGTTTATAAGTAGACTGTTAGGTTGGGGTTAGTGTTAGTTGACATGTACTTGCAAAGTTTCTTATAGTCAGTTAAATGTCTGTTGAAGGATCAGTATCAACATATAATAAGCAGACAGTCTACTAATACTCAAACAGACCAAACAAACATGATACTCCCCCTACAGTACGAACAACAGAACTCTTATAGCAAACTGAGGTGATATGCAAATGTATCTGTGCCACATGCCTTCAAAATAGTGAGTTCAAAATAGTTTTTTTGGTCACATTTCTTGAAGAAATTAAATTACAGCACAATGTCATTAGGGCTAATAGTCTGGTTATTCATCATCTGCATTCAAACATCTTATAAAAGTGTATTTTACATAATATGATCCTTTATATAAAAGCAATTTTGTAATGAGCTCAGCCACTTTATCCTTCAACAGACAGTGTGTGGAAATGCAACTCTATTTAAAAAAAAAAAAAAAAAAAAACTTGAATTATAAACGAGCTTATATGTTTTAGAGGTTAAATGTATCTGAACTCATTTCCTCCTTTCCCAGATCAGACAGCAGTACTGGAAATGCTTCACATTTCTCTGCTCCGGACACAAACCCAGCAAAATCAACTGAGACCTGATGAAACTTTGAGGACTAAAGCACTTATTTTTAGAAAATCCTCATAAAGGTGACATTGTGTGCCCATTTCACTTCAGTTGATATGAGTCTTAAGGAAACTTTATAGCCTTCTTTGATTTAATTTCTTAATAGTGGTGTTTAATAGTAGAGCTTTATTGTGGTCTTAATAGTAGAGCTGTTTTACATCATATCTCTTTAAATGCTAATGAGCAGCAGATGCCCCGCCCATCTCTCATGCTGGATCAGGAATGGTCATTCATTTTTGAGGAGCAGCTAAGTTAAAGCTGTTAATGACAGCCATGTCCCGTGCCTATAATCATCACATATAATTCATCATTGCTTGACATTGCAGCCCAACATTATCAATGTAAAACGTATTCAAACAAACCTCTACATATATGAAAAGTGACACTTGTGTACTTAACAAATGCTCGGCTGCACAGTCTATGAGTGAAAATCAGCAGCAGCACACTTCTAAACAACAGTGAACTTAAGTTGGTGTTTACTAACTGTAACCAGACAAAACAAAATATATATAAATGTAACCCACTGGTCCTACTGCACCCAACCCGGTCCGAGGTGGGATCAAACCGCCGATTCTTTGCATGGGAGCCATTTGCTAAAGGAAGCTAAAGATCATGGCCTCTAGCATCTGTTGATAGAGCAAGTTTAGAGGTCAGAGGAGTGAGATTTACCTGAATAGCACTTCGCTAGCTGGCCTCCATTACACTCACCCCCTTAACCTCACTCCCATCCCAGACGAGCCCCCAGGTGTAACCCTGGGATGGGTTCTACTGCACCCAACCCAGTCTGAGCTGGGATCAAACCGCCAATTCTTTGTATGGGGTTGATTGCTCTAAAAAGGAGGCTAAAGATCATGGCCTCTAGCACCTGTCAATAGAGCATGTTTAGAGGTCAGACGAGTGAGGTTTACATGCATATTTTGTGTAAGCACACCGGTGAGCCTCTTCATCTGAACACACATTAGACTGCATGCCAAAATAGCTTTATTGTTCAAATGCTGAGAAACTACAGGCATCATTAGCTGCTTCGCTATCTGTTTACAAAAAGAGTACAAAGAATGTAGCCTTGTTCAAACAGGCTTTAGCTGAATGAGTGTCTGAAGTGGCTCACAGAATCAATGAGCTGTGTTTATGACAACTCGAGGTATGACACACTAAATTTGTATTTTCTATGTGTGAATGTAATGTTAAATAACATCAATGTTGTGTCATTTGCTTGACTTTGCATGTGTGTAGATTCCCTTTGTCTGGAGGGACTGCTAAACACAACAGCTTCCTGTTTTCAATTCATTGTTGGTCAATGAAATGCGTCTATGTAAATGTCATGAAAAAGTCAGGGTATCTGTCTGGGCATACATGTTTTTTTAATGTTTTTTATGGGTTCTACTGCACCCAACCCAGTCTGTGCTGGGATCAAACCGCCAATTCTTTGTATGGGGGTTGTTTGCTCTAAAAAGGAGGGTAAAGACCATGGCCTCTAGCGCCTGTCAATAGAGCATGTTTAGAGGTCAGAGGAGTGAGATTTACATGCATATGGGATTCCATGTAAGCACACCGGTGAGCCTCTTCATCTGAACACACATTAGACTGCATGCCAAAATAGCTTTATTGTTCAAATGTTCATAAACTAAAGGCATCATCAGCTGCTTCGCTATCTGCTTACAAAAAGAGGTGGTGAAGAGGGCGGAGTTCATAATTTGCTTGCACATATGAAGAAGTAGCCGTTTATGTACAGTAAAAACCCTCACTAATTTCAAACAGGTCAATTATGGCACATACAAACACTCCGTTTATGAAAAAACAAGCTGCATGTTTACTTTCAATTTGTCTGAGCTGGCAGACACAGCAGAAACATGACTAAATTTACAAAAAATGAAAATTTTGTCGAATGACATCACTAAAATACTTTTGTAATGGAATCAGTTTTTTAAAGATAACATCAGTAAATAGCTTTCTGTAAATTAGCTGTTATGCTAAAGCTTTATGTGTCATTTTCTCTGTCATTAATTTTGATAGAATTTTATTATGATTTTTTTCATATTTGCATTTAGTTATTTCTGTAATCATACTCACATATTTAGTCAAATGTAAACAGTAGATAATTGTCATTATTTTGCCTTATTAATAATATTCTGTAAATATGTTTGCTTTTGTTTTGTTTTTCAGCTTCGATATACATTTGATATATAAATATAAACCACATTTACTATAAATAGTTTTAAAGGCAAATATACTTATTCTTCATCATGCATCACTGAGGACTTCAAAGTGGCATTATCATTCAGTAATAAAAGTTTTAAACATAAGTACAGCAAAATTAGAGCTTTAATTGTATCACACTATTAGTCGCAAGTTGTATGTATTAATATTAGCAACTAGTTAATGTTTATTAAGTCTATTCACCTTATTCTTTGCCGACGAGTGGGAGCAACCATTTAAATATTTTTGGCTCGAGACTTCCAGTCTCATTCACTTCCATTCATTTTTAGACGTTAAAAACTGCAAACTGATATTTTCTTATTATGTTATTTTACTTGGTCTGTATAGTCATGCAAACATTTGTTTGTAGAGCAAGTAGTTTGACTGTTTTCTGAAGTTTGTTATTGCTAGTCATCTCTCCCACAGGCGACTGAATCAGAAGATTCAGGTGCACTTCCGCATTTTAGAATAAGATCATTACTAAAATAAACAGTATAGGCGACGCGGTGGCACAGTAGGTAGTGCTGTCGCCTTACAGCAAGAAGGTTGCTGGTTCAAGCCTCGGCTGGGTCAGTCAGCATTTCTGTGTGGAGTTTGCATGTTCTCCCCGTGTTTGCATGTTTTTTTTTTCCGAGTGTTCCGGTTTACCCCAAAAACATGTGGTAAAGGGTGACTTGGGTAGGCTAAATTGCCCGTAGTGTATAAGTATTAATGAATGTGTATGGATGTTTCCCAGAGATGGGTTGCAGCTGGAAATGCAATTGCTGCATAAAAACATGCTGGATAAGTTTGCGATTCATTCTGCTGTGGCGACCCTGCATTAATAAAGGGACTAAGCCGAAAATGAATGAATGAATAATACAAGAATATAGTGTGTGATGAAAATGGTTGAAGATTTAACATTGTTTTTTAGATTGAAATGAATAAATAATCTATGAATGTTTCCTCTGATGTCTGTAAAGCATGATAACAAATGTACAACAATAATAAAATCAACACTATTATGATGATGGCGGTGAAGCTGTTGTTGTCTTTACACACTCCACTCCCTAAGCACGATTTCCATTATTTGGATAATATGAAGGTCTTTTTAAAATGTATTCTGGTAAAATGTACTCTGTGTGTTTATTTAGTATGTTTGTGTAATCACGTCTTGTTTTTTTTCTGTCTCAGAGCATTAATTTGAATATCCATTTGAATTCCAACTAAACAATAAGTTAGTTTCCTCATCAGATAACAAACAAAAACAAAACTCTTATTTAGATGCATGAATTGGGACTTATCGAAGCACAGTAGGAGCATTCAGTCTAGTAGGAGAAGACCACTGCATGTAAACAGATCAGGTAAGATCATCTTTATATTCTTTAATCAGAAACTGATTAGTTATTGTCACTTCATCCATATTTACAGTGGTATCAGTAGCTGTTTGTAATAGGACTGGTTTTCGAGGAGACGCTTATAGACAGCGTTGACATTTAATAAAACAGACATTAGCCATCATTTAAAACAAAATCTACACTTTTCACTCTTTATCTTACCTTCAGATTTTTATTTATCTAATTACAGGAAGTTACTATAGCTTTTTAAAATGCTGGGTTGTCATATAAGCCAATGTTGGGTCAAATATGAACATATCGGTTCCTAAAAAGTACTGACGTGTGTTTTAGTAAAGGTATCGTCCCGCTGACAGCTTTGACACAAATACTATAGTGTCTTTTTGAACACTGCAGTGTTACTTTCTGTCATTAGTAAAGTACCTGAAATAAGCTGTTGTGGTAAATCTATAGTTGCTCATTTATGCTGTGATATTTAAATGAGTCAAGCCCAAACACTGGATCAGTTGCTCAGTGATTAAAGACTTTTTGTTTGATGTGAAACAGACTTTACGAATAAAACAAGTCTTGACAAATTCTGTCACCTCAGGCTAAAGCCGGTGATAAAAAGTATTTATATATTAAATTTGTGTATTTTATTGTTGTGATTTTTTGCTTACATATTAAAGTTGTAAAAAAGGCGGCAGGGTGGCTAAGTGGTTAGCACTGTTGAAGAAGGTCGCTGGTTTGAGTCTCGGCTGGGACATTTGGCATTTCTGTGTGGAGTTTGCATGTTCTTTCTGTGTTGGTGTTGGTTTCCCTTCGAGAGTTTCGTTTTCCCCCACAGTCCAAACACAGGTGTATATGTGAATTAGATTAACTAAATTGGCTGAAGTGTATGAGTGTGTGTGAATATGAGAGTGTATGGGTGTTTCCCAGCACTGGGTTGCAGCTGGAAGGTTATCCGCTGTGTAAAACATATGCTGGAATAGTTAGTGGTTCATTCCACTGTCCCCTGATAAATAAAGGACTAAACCAAAGGAAAATAATTGAAGTTGTGGAATATTTATTTTTTCATTTTTAATTTTAATTTTAATTCATCAAAATGGTTTTATCGTGTGTCTGTGTTCAAGCAGTCTCTCCTGGAATTTGCATGCAAAAATTCTGATATTTCCAGACTATAATAATGATTGTTCAGCATTTGTGTGGTTCTGCAGTGGAAATATACACAAATCTAAGTGCTGCGTTACTTTTCTGACCTCAAGAGCTGTTGGTCTGTGTAATTTACAGGGAAAGTGTTTACATCTTAACCATAAAGCCTACCATCATATCTGACACATGACCCAAAATTATGTAAATAAATAAAACTTTAGATCTCTTCTGCAATGGTTTTAGAAAAATCATGTTAGAATTTGAAACTTGAGCAATTAATATAAAAATACACCAGGCTCAAACAGGTTTTGGCTGAATGAGTGTCTGAAATGACTCACAGAATCAATGAGCTGTGTTTATGACAACTCCAGGTATCACACATCAGATGAGCATTTTCTATAGGTGAATATAATATTAATTACCATCAATGTTGTGTCATTTGCTTGATTTTGCATGTTTGTAAAATCATTATATCTGGAGGGACTGCTAAACACAACAGCTTCCTGTTTTCAATTCATAGTTGGTCAAGGAAATTCATCTATGTAAATGGCACGGAAAAGCCAGAGAATTTGATATCTATCTATCTGTCTATCTATATATACTCACCAGCCACTTTATTAGGTACACCTTACTAGTACTGGGTTGGACCCCTTTTGCCTTCAGAACTGCCTTAATCCTTTGTGGCATAGATTTAACAAGATACTGGAAATATTCCTCAGAGATTTTCCTCCATATTGACATAATAGCATCACACAGTTGCAGATTTGTCAGCTGCACATCTATGATGTGAATCTCTCATTCCACCACATCACAAGTGAGGGGTCTGGATGCAGACCTGGTGTAGTGCAATCTGAGCTGCATCCTTTACTTTTTAATGAGCTCACCTAACCCCACTCCTAACCCTACTCCTCACAGTGACGTCACTTTCTCTATTGATAAACATGGTCAGCAACAATGCTGAGGTAGGCTGTGGTGTTGACACAATGTTCACTTGGACCATTGTGTGTAAACCGTAGAGATGGTTGTGCATGAAAATCCCAATAGATCAGCAGTTTCTGAAATACTCAGACCAGCCCATCCGGCTCCAACAACCATGCCTTGTTCAAATTCACTTAAAACACCTTTCTTTCTCATTTCCCATCATCTTGGCCATGTCTACATGCCTAAATGCATTGGATTGCTGCAATTTAGGATCATATAAACTAGAAATTCCAAGAGTTCAGTTAAAGCAGTTAGGCATATTCACATCAAGACTGAAATTTAGCTGTGCCTTTATTAAATGAGTACTGTGCTACGTCCGACAGATTGCACTGTTATGTCTTTCTACCACTTTTCATTCTTTTATAACCTGTTTTAACACATTTTAATTTTTAATAAAATGTTTTTATAATAATTCTGTTTTTATACTATTTGTGTGTATTCATATTTTTTTCTTGAATACGTGTCTCTTTTATTTCTGTTTATGTAAAGCACTTTGAATTGCCACTGTTCGTGAAATGTGCTATATAAATAAACTTGCCTTGCTTTGCCTTGCCATGTGAATGGCTTATTAGAAATTTGTGTTAACAAGCAGTTGGACAGGTGTACCTAATAAAGTGGCTGGTGATATTTATATATATGTGATATATAAATAGTACATATGTATGTTTTTTTAAATGTTTTTAAATATTCTTAGCGTTATTTAGCAGCTTTTAGCAACAAATTTGCCTTTGCAACTTATAAAGAAAAATATTTTCCGATTTTTGGTGTGTTTGTAATTTTAAATTCTAAGTTATTTAGAAAATAATGGCTAGAGGACTTAAAATTAATAGTTTGTCAAGTTCCTCCTACTAATTTGTTTAATTTGCAGTCAGTGCTTTGGTTGGTTGATGAAAAAACTACACACTGCTGGACATCGGATCCCATAATGGAGCTCGTTGCTTTCAAAAGTAAGTTTCGATTTTTCTATTTAGATTAAGAAAAAAAATAGTACATTTAATAATTTATTGATTTGTAAACCAAACAACACATATAATTCATAACAATATGCAGGAACAGTGTTGCATAACATTACCTTTCCTTCATCTGTAAGCCAAAATCTATCTAAATGTATTAAACTCTATCAGAAAAATGGCATTTATTGAAATGGTTAAATTAAAAGCAAAACGGGTTTTGTGTCACAAAAATTAAAATTAGTCAAATGGCGCCACCTTGTGTCTCTGAATGGCCGCAGTTCTCTTTTGTGAGCAGTGAGTAGCCTACAGTTCAATTTATAAAGCCAGCATGATGATATTGGTTATTTTTTGTTTTCATCTCAGGTGTTGTACGGTTGCTGTTGACTGTCGTCACTTTAAGCTGTTGTAAGTGTAAGCCAGCAGTGTTGCAATACGTTTTTTAATGCAATTGTTTACATTAATTACATTAATCTTACAATAATTACTGTTAAAACGTGACAAATTTAGTAATTTAGCAGATGCTTTAGCAGTTGTCTATGACAGGATGCTAATAAACATCAGTTAATCTCACTTACAAAACAGATCTAATATGCTGGAATAAAATATTTACAAATAAACACAGTTTAAAGCTGTTTTACTACCTGAAAGAAGAGAGTCAGTACTGAGAAACTCTCTATCAGAAGAAAGAAGTTAATCTGGTTTGTCATTTGCTCTTTCTGATCACATCTTCCTCTTCCTCAGGTTTAATATCCCCCACAGCAGCAGCAGCAGTGAGTCCAGTCTCTGGCTGTGAGCTTTATAGTGACCTGTACATCTGCACTGGCGCTCAGTACCGCATGCACTGCAACACTACAAAACATCACTTCTACTACCAGAGAAACCAGAACCAGCACCAATACCAGTGCTTGAGTAATGACTGTGTCTGTGTTGGTAATAATGACACCTGTGTGTGTTATAATAATACTTCATCCTGCTTCTGTGACACCTTCAGCAGTAATATCAGTGTCCCTGCAGCAGACGGTTCAATTTCAGACTGTACGTTTAATAGTGGCTCATACACCTGCATTGGTGCTCAGTACAACATGTACTGTGACACAACACTGAATTCTTTTACGTACAACATATATCCATTCCAAAACCAAAAACAGTATGAATGTCGGAATTATAATAACTATTATAATTACTATTACTGCAGTTTTAATAAGAACTCCTGTTCATGCTATAGGCCGACATCCTCCTGCTTCTGTACAAATTATGGCTACAGCACCTCTCTTTCCTCAGGACAGAGTCCAGCCACAATCCCTGACTGTGTGCTTTATAACGACACATACGTCTGCACTGGCGCTCTGTACCGCATGTACTGCAACACAAGAATTCACTATTTCTACTACCAGAGAAATCAAAACCAAATCCAGTACTATTGTCAGAGTAATAACTGTTACTGCAATTTTAATAATAATTTGTGTTCATGCTCTTCTAGCACTCTGTCCTCCTGCTTCTGTGAGACCCTCAGCAACAGCACTTCACTCAATACAAATCTGCCTCCAGTCTCAGCCCCTGACTGTGAGCTTTATAATGACACCTACATCTGCACCGGTGCTCAGTACCGCATGTACTGCAACACACAAGTGCATTATTTCTCCTACCAAAGATATCAGAATCAACACCAATACCAGTGTGTGAGCGATAACTGTAACTGCGTTTGCAATAAGGACACCTGTGCCTGCTATACTAGCACTCTGTCCTCCTGTTTCTGTGAGACTTACGGCAATATCACAGCTCTCACTACATCACGCAGTCCAGTCTATGAGTGTGTGCTTTATAATGACCTCTACATCTGCACTGGAGCTCAGTACCACATCTACTGCAACACAAGTCTACATAATTTCCATTATAATATAAATTCACATCAGTGCACAAGCGGTATCTGTAGCTGTACTGGGAATAAAAATACCTGTTCATGCTCCACTAGTGCTCCATCCTCCTGCTACTGTACAGATTACAGCAATAACATCACCATCCCTGCTGGAGTCAGTCCAGTCTATGAGTGTGTGCTTTATAATGACACATACGTCTGCATTGGTGCTCAGTACCGCATGTTCTGCAACACAAGCATGCACAGTTTCAGCTACCGGAGAAATACAAACCAAAACCAGTACCAGAGCCGGTGCTGGAGTAATTACTGTGATTGCTATGGTAATAAAGACACCTGTGGATGCTACAGCAGGACTCTGTCCTCCTGCTTCTGTGAGTCTTATGGAAAAAGCATCGCTCTCACTACAGCAGTCAGTCCAGTCTATGAGTGTGTGCTTTATAAAGACACCTACATCTGCACTGGTGTTCAGTACCGCATGTTCTGCAACACAAGTCTACATAATTTCTATTATAGTACAAATGCGCATCAGTGTACAAGCAGTATCTGTAGCTGTACTGGGAATAAAAATACCAGTTCATGCTCCACTAGTGCCCCATCCTCTTGCTTATCTACAAATTACACCAATAATAACATCATCCCTGCAGGAGTCAGTCCAGTCTATGACTGTGTGCTTTATAATGACACATACGTCTGCACTGGTGCTCAGTACCGCATGTTCTGCAACACAAGCATGCACAGTTTCAATTACTGGAGATATAAAAACCAAAACCAGTATCAGAGCCAGTGCTCGAGTAATTACTGTTATTGCAATGGTAATAAAGACACCTGTACCTGCTCCAGAAGCACTTGGTCCTCCTGCTACTGTGAGTCTTACATCTCCACCACCACAACCACACCCAGTCCAACTACTCCAGGTGAGATATTCCTAGAATGAAACATGATATTTAGTTTATTATACAGTATATGTGTTGTAATGACGAGCCATTTCATTTCAGCTCAGACTATCACTCTGCCTGATCAATGCACGGTACAATCAACACTAAACACTTATTCAGTGCACTTTCAGAGTTTTTTTAGGTGTATTGATAAAGCTCACCTGTGATTTCAGAGTCAGGGAGGATGCCTTCAGAATCTACTTCAGCAGCTGGAGAACGTTACACAACTTCCATTATCTGTACGTTTATAGGAGGGAAAAAAAATCACATGTCCTGTTGTTTGGAGATGTGTGTGTGTGTGTGTGTGTGTGTGTGTGTGTGTGTGTGTGTGTGTGTGTAGCATTGCTGTTCTGACTGAATTATTACCCATTTATAAGTGTTTTTGTATCATAAATTAGGTTGTGTCTACGGTTTTGGACATGGCTCTGAACACATCCGCTGTGGTTTTGCCGTCAACTGATTCAAAAGAATTAGTGGCAAATGGAAATCGTGTATTACAAGCAAGCGAGAAGCTCCTATCTGCACTGGTGAAACCAACAGAGACAAGCGACAATGTTAGTTTTACTCTCGACACTGTTGGTGAGTGAAGGTGCAGATTAAGAATCAAGCAACATCGTTTCACATACAGTTCATAGAGTCAGACTTTATCTGAAGAGGTATTTCTTCTGGATAAAGTGAGAAATCCTCATGCATTACTCTCTGAGCTAATAATAAAGATACATGAGAAAAGATTAACTCACATTATTTTCTTTAGAGGTAAAAGTTTTCTCGATTGGACCAAAATTCGCTTCAGAACAGTTCCCTCAGCTGGACACAAAAACTGCTTCTATGGACATTGATCTGATCGGGATTGCCAAGAGTAACGAGGAAAAAGGTATGTCAACAGTATTTGCATGCCTGAATGGTGATCAGTCATACACATACTGATATTAACTTTAGTTTCCTATATTGTGCATGAAAGCCCCACACAGATGTCTGTAAAGGTGAACTGGGATGCAGCAGCTGTGGATTCTTTCTGGATGTGCTGTGCATTTGACCCTGTTTCTGTCCCACAGGAACTGCTGCTGTGGCTTTCATGAGCTACACCACAATGGAGAATCTACTGAAGGCCGACTTCTTCAACACAACTAATGACACCATTAAAACCATGATGTCCACTGTGATCTCAGCTACACTTCCCAAAACCAGCAACACTACACTCACCAAACCAGTCAACTTCACCTTCAGACACATCAGAGTGAGTTCATTTAGAGCGATTCTGTTGAATGGCATGGCTGATGGTCATGTGATGATTATGGGAACTAGTTGTTTTGGACTATCTGAGGACCAGCACATAGGTCAAACCAGCATGCATGCTTTAAAACATACCTAACCAGCAGATCCTGGTTTTATTTACAGGCTCATTGGGAATACGCGGCCAATTTGTTGGAAAACCAAATAGGTTTGTCTGCAGTTTGTGGGTACGGTGCTGTATTACACCACTGACAACTTCTGTCCCTTTTAGCACCAAGGGCATATTATCGATGGATAAAGGGTTGTTTTCACATGGTTTCCCCCACAGCACATGATAAACAGCACAAAAATGACCTAGAAGCATCTGTGGTCTGTAATCGTCAGAGTTCGCCTCACCCGCTGATATCTAAAGCTTTTCTAGCACGGTCAGTTTGCTTGGTAGCTCACCTTGTACAGTGTTGTACTTGGGATGCAGAGTGGTCTGGGTTTGTGAAATCTTGGTAAATGGCATGACAACTATCATTGTTAAACCAATTAGCTGAATTACCAATTAGCCCATTTTGTCTTACTTCCGCTATCTTTGTCATTTCCCCCTTTACCAGGGGAAGCTTTTGAGACCTACCTAATCTTGAACCTCCTTGCTTGCTATTTGACCAGGCGGAAGCTCTGGGCTCAATTATCTCAGAGCTCAGGGTTCTCTGCAGGGACAGAATGTCAAATCTGCTAATAGTATCAAGCAATAGCTAAGTGTGAATTTGTAAAATCAGTATTGGTTAGGTTAAGGGAAAGGTGTGGTTCATTGATAGATGCACTACAAGCTGAGCGGATCCTTACAAACAAATAGGAAAAAGACATGTACAGAGAACGCATGAGAAAATGTGGCCCAGTGCCGTTTTTGAGATTTGAGTAGCCTGTAGTGCAGGGTTGGCTACCCCTAACATAGCCAATGAGCCAAATTTGTGAAAGAAGTTATCGTAAGATGCTTTTTTTTTTTAATGTTCTTCTTCTTGCAGGAGTTTGACCCCAACGGTTCTCTGTCCTGTGTGTACTGGAATATCAGCGAGTGGATTGTAGATGGTTGTTCTGTGTTAAACAGCAACAGCAGCCACACTGTGTGTTCCTGTGTTCATCTGTCCACATTCGCTCTCATCATGCAGACCAGCAGCAGTCCACCACCGGTACCAGAACATTTCTAGAGAGCATTGAAGAGCAGCACAGATCTGGCACTCATGTTCTCTGCATGTTTTCTCAGAGCGATCTGCTGGATCTGCTGGGTCTGGTGTGTGTGATCGTGGGTCTGGTGTTCTTCAGTTTGGCTCTGTTGTCCTTTGCTCTTTGTCAGTGGAGTCCTGGAGTCAATAATGTGGCTCGAATCAACATCTGCATCAGTCTGCTGTCGGCTCACCTTCTGTTTCTGCTCACACAACAGTTCCTGAGCCTCATTCGCCCTCAGCAGGTGAGAATGATAAAGGAGCTCTACAGCTCAGCACAGCCGCACTGAGAATCATCATAACCCTCTCTCATGCTCTCCAGGTGTTGTGTGTGGTGATAGCAGGCCTTCTGCACTTCTTCTTCCTCTCCGCCTTTGTGTGGATGTTCATTGAAGCTGTGCTGCTCTTCATCTGCGTCAAGAACCTATCACAGATCAGCTCCAAAAAGAAGGAGGTGCTTAGCAGTGGGTTCCTGTGTGTGATTGGATATGTGCTTGCTATGGTTGTGGTGTGTGTGTCTATTGGGCTGGTTCCAGAAGGATACGGCAGTGAACAGTGAGTTGGTGTTGTTAATTTCATTGTTTTGTTTTTTTTAAATTTGTTAACAGGTTGTAACAATGTCACATATAATCTTAATATCAGTAACTATCAGTTCTTGTTGATAAATGTATTCGTTTATTATATTGTGTTTTCCTCTAATCAGTTGCTGGATTAAATATGATAAAGGGTTTATCTGGAGTTTTCTGGGTCCTGTTTGTGTCATACTAGCAGTAAGTTTTAGTTACAGACGTTTTTCTCATGACCTGTTAAAATCAACAAAACTCTAAACTGATCATTTCTTAATCTTTCTACAGCTGAACTTGATTCTCTTCATCAGGATCGTCATCTACCTGAACTCGGCTCTCTCAAAACTGAACGCTGAAATTTCACAGTTGAAACAAACCAAGTAATGAATGTGATTCATTTTTAACAAAAAACACAAATGAATTAAACTACACACAATATCTTGTTCTTTCTCTCATTTACCACAGGGTTATGGTGTTTAAAACACTGGTTCAGTTTGTGGTTCTTGGTTGTCCTTGGATTCTGGGTTTCTTCACTAATAGCAGTGAGGTGCTGGAGATCGTCTTCCTGATCTTGAACTCTCAGCAGGGAACCTTCATCTTCCTGATCTACTGTCTGCTCAATAATGAGGTCAGACATTTACTCAATCTACCATCATAACTAGGGGTGTAACGATATTCAAACTGAACTAAACAAAGATCACACTTCATTTTGATAGTCTGTTTGTTGAATTTAAGTTACATTGCATTTACCTGCCAACTAAGTCTTATTAGATTATAAGTAGACTGTTGGGGTTAGTGTTAGTTGACATATACTTGCAAAGTTTCTCATAGTCAGTTAAATGTCTGTTGAACGATCAGTATCAACATATAATAAGCAGACAGTCTACTAATACTCAAACACACCATCAAAATAAAGTGTTACCAAACAAACATGATACTCCCCCTACAGTACGAACCACAGAACTCTTATAGCAAACTGAGGTGATATGCAAATGTTTCTGTGTCCCATCCCTTCAAAATAGTGTTAAAATGGTTACGCTTACAGTCTTTAGACTTTCTTGGTTACATTTCTTGAAGAAATGAAATTACAGCACAATGTCATTAAGGGCTAATAGTCTGGTTATTCATCATCTGCATTCAAACATCTTATAAAAGTGTGTTTTGCATAATTTGCCCCCTTTATATATAAGCAATTTTGTAATGAGCTCAGTCACTTTATCCTTCAACAGACAGTGTGTGGAAATGCAACTCTATTTTCTTGACAAAATTGTATTATAACCAAGCTAATATGTTTCAGAAGTTAAATGAACCCATCTCCTCTTTTCCCAGATCAGACAGCAGTACTGGAAATGCTTCACATTTCTCTGCTCCGGACACAAACCCAGCAAAATCAACTGAGACCTGATGAAATTTTGAGGACTAAAGCACTTATTTTTAGAAAATCCTCATAAAGGTGACATTGTGTGCCCATTTCACTTCAGTTGATATGAGTCTTAAGGAAACTTTATAGCCTTCTTTGATTTAATTTCTTAATAGTGGTGTAAATAAACACCCCTTTACCCAGTCAAAGCACAGTGAGCTGTTTTAGATCATATCTCTTTAAATGCTAATGAGCAGCAGATGCCCCGCCCATCTCTCATGCTGGATCAGGAATGGTCATTCATTTTTGAGGAGCAGCTAAGTTAAAGCTGTTAATGACAGCCATGTCCCGTGCCTATAATCATCACATATAATTCATCATTGCTTGACATTGCAGCCCAACATTATCAATGTAAAACGTATTCAAACAAACCTCTACATATATGAAAAGTGACACTGGTTTACTTAACAAATGCTCGGCTGCACAGTCTATGAGTGAAAATCAGCAGCACCACACTTCTAAACAACAGTGAACTTAAGTTGGTGTTTACTAACTGTAACCAGACAAAACAAAATATATATAAATGTAACCCACTGATCCTACTGCACCCAACCCGGTCTGAGCTGGAATCAAACCGGTAATTCTTTGTATGGAAGTCGGTTGCTCTAACAAGGAAGCTAAAGCCCATGGCCTCTAGCACCTGTCGATAAAGCAAGTTTAGAGGTCAGAGGAGTGAGATTTACCTGCATAGCACTTCGCTAGCTGGCCTCCATTACACTTACCCCTTTTACCTCACTCCCATCCCGGAAGAGCCCCCTCGTGTAACCCACTGGTCATACTCCACCCAACCCGGTCTGAGCTAGGATCAAATCAGCGATTCTTTGCATGGGGGTTGTTTGCTCTAACAAGAAGGCTAAAGACCATGGCCTCTAGCGCCTGTCAATAGAGCATGTTTAGAGGTCAGAGGAGTGAGCTTTACATGCATATGAGATTTTGTGTAAGCACAACGATGAGCCTCTTCATCTGAACACACATTAGACTGCATGCCAGAATAGTTTCATTGCTCAAATGTTGATAAACTAAAGGCATCATCAGCTGCTTCGCTATCTGTTTACAAAAAGAGCTGGCGAAGAGGGTGGAGTCCATGACTTGCTGAAGAAGCAGCCGTTTATGTATAAACCCTCACTAATTTCAAACAGGTCGATTATGGCACATTCAAACACTTAAAAAAAACAAGCTGCATGTTTACTTTCAACTTGTCTGAGCTGGCAGACACAGCAGAAACATGACTAAACATGCAAAAAACTACAAAAAGTGAACATTTCGTCCGATTACACCATTAAAGTACTTTTGTAATGAAATCAGTTTTTTAAAGATAACATCAGTAAATCACTTTCTGTAAATTAGCTGTTATGCTAAAGCTTTATGTCTCATTTTGTAGTTTTTTCATATTTGTATTTAGTTATTTCTGTAATCATACTCACATATTTAGTCAAATGTAGACAGTAGATGTTTGTCATTTTTGCCTTATTGATAATATTCTGTAAATATCATGTTTTCTTGTTTTTCAGCTTCGTTTGAGTTTTCTGAAATAAACCACATTTATTATAAATAGTTTCAAAAACATCCACTACCTGCCAAAAGTCTTGTCACCTATTCAAGTTTTAGGAACAACAAATAATAAGTTGACTTCTAGTTAATCAATTAGTATCAGAAGTGGCTTATATAAAGGCAGAGGCCTCAAGATTAACCTTATTTTACCAAAATAAAATCTGATCATGCCTTGATATTTAAAGTTTTAAAAATTAAAGTTTAAATTAAATTAAAGTTTTAAACATAAATACAACAGAGTTATTGCTTTGGATGTATTACACTATCAGTCTCAGACCATATATATATTAATATTAGCAACTAGCATATTGTTTATAAAGTCTAATTTTAGACTAATTATCTTTCTTTTTTTATTTTCTCTGTTGAAATCTTGCTTTATTATTTTACAAGTGTGTATTTGTGAATTGTGCTTTCATTTTAATTGCCTCTATTATAATACAAGAATATTTAGTGTGATGAAGATGGTGGGGGATTTATCATTATTTTTAGATAGAAATAAATAAATAATCTACAAATGTTTCTTTTGATGTCTGTAAAGCATAATAACAGATGTACAACAATAATAAAATCAACACTATTATGATGATGGAGGTGGAGCTGTTGTTGTTTTTGTAATTGCATTTTGTTTTCGTTTTTTAGCTCAGAGCATCAATTTGAATATCCATTTGAATTTCAGCAGGAAAATACGTTAGCTTCCTCATTAGGTAACCTTTTTATAGAAATTCCAACACAAAATATTTGCATTAATTATGAAGCAACAAACAGTAGGAGTATTCAGTCTAGTAGGAGAAGATCACTGAGTGTAAACGCAGATCAGGTAAGATCCTTTTTACATTCTTTAATGAGAAGAAGCTGTTTAGTTATTATCACTCTCCGTATTTACAGTGTTTGTCTTCAGTAGCTGTTTGTGATCAGACAGGTTTCCAAGGAGACGCTTATAGACAGGATAGAAAACTTGACATGCAATGAAACAGACATTAGCCATTATTTAAAACTAGATCTACACTTTTCTCTCTTTATCTTACCTTCAGATTTAAAAAAATACAAATTTACAGGAAGTTACTATAACTTTTAGAAAATGCTGGGTTCATATAAGCCAATGTTGGGTCAAATAGGAACATATCGGTTCCTAAAAAGTACAGTATATTTTGAAAGGTAATGTGAGAGTGACACATGCTTAATGTTTTTAAACAGAATTGTTGCAAACAATTTATTTGTGTTGAATTTAAACAAACAAATTAAGTTTAATAATGTTCAACTTAATTAGTTTGTTTAAATTCAGCCCAAATAAATTGTTTACAACCACTTAACATAAAAAAATTGAGTAAATCCAAGAAATCATCTTTGAATAATTTTTTTCAATGTATAGCAAAGTATTTTAATTAATCTATTAATCTGTTGAGGTAAATATATTAATGCTATAATACCACAACACTCAATAAATGATTTTTGCTGCTTGTTCAAATTACTTGCTTGAAATGAGCTGAATCAGCACATTTTTTGTCTTTTTTTGGGGGTCAACTTTTTTGATATAATTAATTTTAGGGGTTTTTCACCTTTATTATAACAGGACAGTACAAAATTTAGGCAGGAAAGCATTGGGAGCAGAGAGAGGGGAAGGATTGGCAAAAGACCTCAAGCCAGGAATCAAACTCGGGTCATCGTGAGCACATTGGTGCCACAGTATATGTCAGTGCACAGTACCACTAGGCTACTGGCGCTGACTTTTGGGGGTCAACCTAATTGTTTTTTATTCAATCCAGCACAATATCATGGCAGTTCATAACTTTTTGATTTAGTGGCTAATTCATATGAATTCATAAGATCTAATTCGTGCAATTAAATATGATTCACTCATCAGCCAATGACGGTTGGGTTTAGCGGTGGGGTTTGGTGCCACATGTCCTTTTCAAAATCATACATTTTCGCATGACTGAGCTTAAGACTAAATTTAACTTACGGATTAGCCACTAAAATGACAAAACTTAAAATACTTTCGTTTCCTCGTAAGATCAGGCTGGTTCAATCCACTTAAAATTGTAAAAAACAATCAAATTAACCTAACTGATTTGTGTCAGGGCAACACAAAGGAATTGTGTAGAACCCAGCGTTTCATACACTAAAAAGTGCAGGATTACACACAATTCATTCATGCTGTCCCAACACAAATTGATTAGGTTAACTTAACACTCAACATATTTATGTGGATTGAACAAAAAAAATTCAATTGTCCCAATGAAATCTCAAGAATTGTGTTGTTTCAGCTTATTTTAATTTAATAGTTTAAACAAGCAAAAAATATATATATTTAAAAATATATATATATATATTTTTTTCAGAGTACAGTGAAATGTAGTAATTAGGGTTGCGCGGTTTACCGGTACTATAATAGTATCGTGATACTATGGCTCCAAAATACTGGTGGTGCCACTATAT